GGCGTCGAAACGGTGAGGCGGGAACCTTTATAGGATCTTGGTCTGTGGGGTGGTCGTGGGGCAGTTGAAGTTGAATGATTTACTTTAGGATTATTTTTTTTTCTCTTGCTGCATAAAAGCTCTGAGTCAAATGGAAGTTGTCCTGTGTTAACACTTTTGAAGGATGGTAATTGTCAGCCTTGATCTGTTGTTGCAAACTTTGTGTCTATACCAGTAACAAAGCCCAGTTTTTGCTCCAACTCTTGTCATCGGCAATGGTTGGTAAAATTGTGGGTATTTGCTGATAAAATGTAGGTGCTTTCCAAATGAAGGGTCAAGGTGTTTCTCAAAACTTAAAATTGCATTGGAGGTATGAATGCAAGCTCTGCTTCAGAAAAAAACCCTACTCTTCTGGGAGAATTAGCTATAAAGCTGGATGGTTTGATGTTCTAACTAGACTGGTAAACTCTATGAGATTTAAAGTCTAATTTGAATTGGTTTTACAGTAAGGTTTTGCTAATTGAATGAACTGTTTCTTTGAAACTATTTTAAACTCAATGGTTGCAAGCTTCTCTGTACATGTACTTTATGTGGGTGCAAAATTGAATTACACTGGAATAGGTTAAACTAATTGAGCAGCTGAATAAAGAAATTCCCTGTAAGTTTTTGTACCAGGTTAACCAAGCTGATTTCAAACAATACCATGGACAGCTTATAGCTTCATGTAAACATGGACAGCTTATAGCTTGATGTAAACATGGACAGCTTATAACTAGAGAAATCTGGTCTAGTTCCTTCCTTGTCTACACCTGTAACTTGGGGGGATTTAAGTCCCTGTGACCTAGATGCTTAAAGCAATCCAGATGTTATGCCCAGCAGCTGTGTAGTATGTACTGAGTGACTGCACCTCAAAGTGAATCTGTAATGCAACTAAACATGGTAGGCAAGCCACTATGCTTGGCATTGTTCGTACTCCCTTAGTTCATACATAACGCTTGAAGTGATTCTTAGGTTCAGGAAATAAAATAGCTAAAATATTGTCTCTAAATTTTTTAAAATCCTGAACATAACTTATTTACATCTGGATGTTCAATATCTCTTTCTGTCCCTGTAGCTCTATATGTTTCTGCGTTCACCAGAGTGCATTACTAGTATGGTAGAGCTTTATGATACTGAATATTACAACTACTCTTCACAGATTGTTTTTTCTTTTCAGTAACTGTTACAAAAATCTTATATTGCATCTACATATGACCATTCCCTTCTACTCTACAAGGATTGGGAAAAAACTGTACAGTATGATATGCCCATCTTTGCTCTGATCTATATCTTGTAATTACAGCATATTCACTATGTCACAGTGTAAACACAGGGACTTCCTGTTTGCAAGCTCACCTCTCTACAGAAGTGAGCAAACACAAAGATTTAAATAATTCTAAGTTCTTTGACTTTGTAACGTTTGCTAATAGTTTGGTAAAAAAAATAGAGTGTAAAAGACAGACCGGGAAACGCAGAGCAGAATCTAGAGCCAGGAGCATCTGGAAGACGAGAGTTTGTTTCTGTGGTTTGCTCTTAAAAACTTGAGCTTCTGTGTCACTTTTGAAGTTTGTGACCTGTGTCTTTGGAGTCATTTGATATTATGCACACTGATGGGGAACAGCAAGCTCCTAAAGGACTGATGTGATAACTAAACATAAGTTAATCATGAGTAAGCCTTTGGAGATGATGCAGTTACCATTTGGTGCTCGACTGCCTTCTACTGAAATTGCAGGCCTCCTGCTCTCCACAGTGATAAAAGGCAGTTGGACTGGAGAGCATCTAGAGAAAAGGCACTGAACAATTGAAGGATTTGGAAACCTAGTCTTTAGTAAATTCCCTTAATTGCTTTGTTTAGTCTGTCTTGATTAATGTGGGAAAACACTTTCTTGCTATGGTTTTTTTTTCACTGGTAGAAGTAGTTGATATATAAACTAAAAAATATTAATAAACATTGCAAAGCAAATGCTGGGGTGCTAGCAGCTGGGTTGATTCTTTAAAATTTAGTTGTTGGAAGTTGTTGATTGCCATTTTGCTTACGTGTTACGGTGCTTGGAGAAAGGAAAAAAAATAGAACTTGCAGCTTAGTCAACTATCTCTTTGTACTGCATACTATAGCAACTAAAAGTAATAATTTCTAAAAAAGCTTATTTTATATATTGCATATATATATAAAAAACATATATATAGAATTTTTTTAGAATTTATGAGTAAGCACCACATTGGATTTTTACATCTAAAATGTCACTAATTTTCTAAAAGGAATTTCAGTGTTGCTTTTCTTTAAGCATTTTTAGTCATGAACAATGAATAAATAACAATAATAAAGTGATACTTCTTTGCCTATCTAAAGTGAAAAATTACTCTGTAGGGATTTTCTGTGCAAATCTTTACTGATTTCTGCCCCCCCCCACCCCTTTATGGAGATTTTGAGAGTTCTTCCTCCTTTGCCCTAAACACATACAAATCATGTGCTGGAATTCATGCTGATACTGGTGTTGATTTCTTGGAGCAAACGAAATACCATGTTGAGAGCTTCTTGCTTAATCTTTGTTGCAGATCCAACTTTCCTAGTGATTTTTTGGGGTTTTCTTGGATTTTGGTTTTGGGGTTTTTTTTTAAGATAGAATATCTTCATGACATGTTTTTTCTCTCTTATTTACACAAACTACACTCAATACAATTCCATTACAGAAGGTCTTCACAAATCACTTGGTTTGCCATCCTTTCAGAAGGCAAGAATTTTCAGAAGAGAACTCTTCCAGCTTTGCTGTTGCACAAGTCTGTGAGTTTTCTGTGTATTTAAGTCGGTCTTGCATTTATTTTTTTAGAAAGACAATATAATAAATCAAAGGCATCTTGGGAGGTGGGGAAAATGCATGTTTTGTTAACATTTTGAGTAGAAGAAGGTAATTTAGTTAATCTTCATTATTTGTAAATGCATACTTAAAAGTAAGTGTACTAGAGGAAAAACTAATTGGTTTTGTATTCCTATAAACAGTATTATTTGCAAATAGTATCGTAGTGTTAGGCTTGGATGTCTTTGTTTACCTTGAGGACATGGACTGTTTGAAGTTGGATTTGTCAGTGGAGCTATGTAGGAGAGGGGAATGAGTCTTATTCTGAAAAATACTTCCCTGGCACTGATAAAGTCATAACTGGATTCATGTTTGAATTCTTGTTGTTCAGAATTTCATATTCTTTAGGGTTTTTCCTAGATGTTTGCTGAAGGACTAATTACTGCCTTTTTCTTTTTGAAGCAGTTAAGTGGTTCTTCAAGTTGGCTTGAAAAAACAACAACCCAGCAACCCAGCAGATGTTTCACGTTGTTCAGTATCGGCCTTTAAGACTAATAATGCAAACCAGTCTTTCCAGCATGTGTCTTAAACTGATGCTTTCAAGACCTGTTGCATTTGCACAGATATGGAAATCATGGTTCTCAAGCCATTCTCTCATTGGAAACAAAAATATTATCCTGATGGGACCTCCGGGTGCTGGGAAAACAACGGTTGGGAGAATAGTAGGTCAGAAACTAGATTGCCCTGTCATAGACATAGATGATGATGTCCTTGAAACAACTTGGAATATGAGTGTGTCGGAAAAACTGCAGGATGTTGGTAATGAGCAATTTTTAGAGGAGGAAGGAAAAGCCCTGTTGAAGTTTTCAGCATCTGGAAGCGTCATTTCCCTTACTGGGTCCAATCCAATGCATTCTGCTGGTATGCAGCATATGAAGAAAAATGGAATAGTTGTATATCTGGATGTGCCTACAACAGCCATTATGAACAGGCTGAAATCAATGAAAGTGGATCGCATTGTGGGCCAGTCTCCTGGTATTTCTCTCAAGGACATACTTCAGTTTAGGAAGCAGTTCTACAAAAGGTGGTACGACGTCCGTGTTCTTTGTGGAGGGGATATTGCAGCAGAGGTTGTAGCAGAAAAGGTACTTGATGCTGTGAAGAGATACCAAAACTCAGAACTGGAAACTTTCATTTCAACTAGGTCTAGCAGGTCTGGAAGGAGTATGGAAAAAGACTCTCGTAAATATTTCAGTGATGTTGTTACTGAGGGCTTGGCCCCTGATGGAGGACTCTTTGTTCCCGAGAGAGGACTTCCAAAATTCACTGCTGGAGAATGGCAAAGCCTAATTGAAGCAACTTACATTGAAAGAGCCCAGGTGATACTAGAAAGATGCATACATCCTGCTGATATTCCTGCTTCTAACCTGGCTGAAATTATTGGAACTGCTTATGGAGAAAACTTTAGTTGTTCTAAAATTGCCCCAGTTAGGCATCTGGCAGGCAATCAGTTTCTCCTTGAGTTATTTCATGGACCAACAGCATCATTTAAAGATTTTGCATTACAGATGGTGCCGCATATATTTGCATACTGCATTCCCAGAAGCTGCAATTACTTGGTTCTGGTAGCTACTTCTGGTGATACAGGAAGCGCTGTCCTAGATGGCTTTAGTCGCCTCCATGACACTGACAAACAGAGAATTGCTGTGATTAATTTTTTTCCTGAGGATGGAGTAAGCCCAATTCAAAAATCACAGATGATTGGCTGTCAGAAAGAAAATGCTTGGTCAGTAGGTGTCAAATCTGATTTTGATTTTTGCCAGACAGCTATAAAGCAAATCTTTACTAATTCTGATTATACTGGTTTTCTTACAGTAGAATATGGAACAGCTTTAGCTGCAGCAAACTCCATAAACTGGGCAAGACTGCTTCCTCAGATAGTTTATCATGCCTCTGCATACCTTGATCTTGTTCATCAAGGTGTTATTTCCTTTGGAAGCCCTGTAGATGTTTGCATTCCTACAGGAAACTTTGGCAACATACTAGCTGCTTTGTATGCTAAAATGATGGGAATTCCTATTAGAAAATGTATTTGTGCTTCCAACGAAAACAATGTTTTGACTGACTTCATAAGAACAGGTGTGTATGATTTGAGGGGAAGAAAATTAATTCCTACTTTTTCACCAGCAGTAGATATTTTGAAGTCCTCCAATCTTGAGCGATACTTGCACCTGATTGCTAATGAGGATGGACAACTGGTGACACAATTATATAATCAGCTGGAAAATCAGGGCCACTTCCAGCTACGGAAGGATCTACTTGACAAGCTTCAGCCGGACTTGGTGGCTGGATTGTGCTCTGGGGAGGGCTGTCTAGCTGCTATTCACTCCATATACAGCACTACAGGATATATTTTGGATACACACACAGCTGTTGCTAAAGTAGTTGCAGATCGATTACAAGATAGAACTTGCCCAATTATTATTTCATCTACAGCTCATTATTCTAAGTTTGCACCTGCTATCTTGAGGGCCTTGAGGATTGCAGAAATAAACCAGAATCCATTAAGTCAGCTTCACTTGCTGAGTTCTTACAGCCCTCTGCCTCCAGTCCACTGGGGCTTGTTAGAGACCCTGAAAAAGAAGGGGAATGAGGATCATCAGGTCTGTGCTGCAGATATGAGTATGCTGATGTCTCATATAGAAACCTTAATTCAAAATCATTTTATGAAAGCTTACTGAGCAACTGATCAGATGTCCACTGTGTCAATTGTGATACCTTCTTATCAAGCTGCATGTTTTAATAAAGTCGTGATTCATCTGGTCTGTGTCCAGTCCACAGCGTAATGTCCGCAGTTTTAGACTCAGTTGTCAAGTTTTCAACAGTATTTATAAGTAATGCCTGTGAGATTTCTAGTAGTGGTGAAAGGTTGTGAATTGAGAGCATAAAAGACTGGAATACTTTTTTGCAGGTCATACATAGTAGAGACGGCAGTAGTGCCAGCTTTCCTTGGTGGTGCTGTCTCCTTCACAAGCGTGAAGTGTTCTCTGTGGAAGGAAGAAGATAATGAAGTCTGACCTTTCTGAAACTATTAGCTCTTGTTTTGTTGCGAGAATGATGTGATCATTTGGTCAGTGGGTGATTAGTTGAAGTTTAACTCACTTCACTTAGGGCACTGAAGCATAATAAGATATTGTAATGATGTTCGTATCTTACTAATGAGGGTTGATTTCACTACAAAGATTTGAGTATACTTGTATTGATAATCCTTGAACCATTTAATTTGGTCGTTTGTTATCTTCTTGTATGATGTTTTTTATGTATTGTGAGGTGAGCGTTTATATAAAAAAAACCTCGTTATTTTGTTTTTTCAGGCATTTTTTCCTCCCAGATATTTTCCTATGTAAAATAGAATCCTTAATTTAATATTTTTAATAACTTTTAAGATTTGACTCTTCCTCCAATGTGTTGTAGTCTCTTTCCTAGATATTTTCTATTTGAACTTTCAACTTTAGAATCCTTTTTTAATAATATAGAAGAATTTGTTAGTAGTAGCAGCAGTCTCCTTATTTAAGAACCACACTTCACCATTTATTTACATTTATTTCTTGTATTCTAAGTTTTTAGAATATAAGTTTTATCTTAGAGGTCATATAATATTCTTGTTCTAATTATTTCTGTTTTCATGTTTTTCTTAAATTAATTTCCTTAACGTTCTATTCTATTCATACTTTGCATGAATTAGTATAAGAAAGAAGCTTCCCAAAGTGCTTGGCATCTCATCAAGGAAAGTGAAGGATGAATTCCAGTGTCTGGAAAGTGTGATAGCATCAGAGGTATTTATTATGTAACATACAATAGATCTATGTTAGCAATCTGGTTGTGCTAATGACAGGCTTGCTATTGCTTTTTTGCATCAGAAAAAAATAGAGCAGGTTGCCCTAGGAGATCATGTGGTTATGGACAAATTTACTCTGCTAACTGTAGATTGTATTTGGCAAGGGCGTGAAATATAACTACATTTCTCACTGCGAAATGATAAAATGATGTATTGGCAAGTTTTGAATGGCATGCAGTTACAGGTAAAGAGCTAAGAGTCATCAGATGTGAGGATGTATAGCTATGGGAGGTTGTGGTTCCCACCAAGATTCAAATAGGGAAGGTACTGGCAAGAGAGGTGGTGATTAATAACAGTTTTTGCCTCTTCAGGAGGCAACATCTCCTAGATGTCAGGACTCATTTGGAGCTTTGAACTGTTGCCGTATTCCCCAGCTTCCTCTGTGTCTGCTTGTACTTTTTGCCACATTAGAGGTGAACAAGACACCATCTAGCAAACTATTTTTAAAAATTGTCATTTCTTGCAATGTAAGGTGAAAGACCCGTGCATGATGTGCATTTGCCACACTGAATACATTATATAATAAAATTAAATATACCTGATAACAAAGGCATGACACAATAGCTTTCTAGATTCTGCCATTCTTGGATGCCTTTTTAGGACCTTTCTAGTTCTTTTCTCTGCTCAATCCTCATTCACTATTCCTGCAACGCTTTTGGAAATATTTATTTTTATTTTCACTGCATCGTGGAACAGCCCAAGTTGGAAGGAACCTCGAAACATCATCTGGTCCAGCATTTTGTGGGAAAGGGAGCCTATCTAGCACCCTGTCCAGTCACGTCTTAAAAACCTCCAGCGACAGGGACTCTACCACATCCCTGGGGAGGTTCCGGTGATTGAGTGTTCTCACTGTGAAAAATTTCTTTCTTATATCAAGATGAAACTTTGCCTGGTGCAACTTGTACTGATTTCCCCTTGTTGTCTCCATGTGGCTCCTTGTGAAGACAGCCTCCGTCCTCCTCCTCACTGCAATTTACGTACTGGAAAACTGTGATGAGGTGCCCCCCCTTCCTGATCCTCCTCTTCTCCAGGGTAAGAAGACCTAACTCATTCAGTCTCTCCTCACAGGGCAGAGGAATTTTTATCTTTTTCCAGACACAACATGAGAAAGACCATAAATATGTAATGAAAAAAAATAATTAAAAAATCCAAGTTCTGTAAGAAAAAGTTGCATAAGCATGTTGCCAGAAAAGCAGCATTGCTTGTGTAGGTGATAAGTGCACATCCACCTTGTATTTCTGTGTTTTGGTTTGATAGTTGTTCCAAGTGGAGAAAAATGTAATGCTTTCACTAGTTGTGCTCACTACAAAACCAGAATTCTAAATCTTAAAAACCCAAAAAACCCCAATCAGCCCCAACTGCCTGTATTGAATTACTGGAACAGGAATTAGGTTCAGCATAAGGACTCTGGAAATCCTACAGTACCTGGTTTTATGGGGCTTAACGCCATTTGATGTCGTAGGGCAATTTGTCACACATTGTTTTAATACTTTATAGAAATCTCTACAAAAAAGCTTGTTTTCTTAGAAAGTACCTAAAAGAGAAAAGCTGAGATTCTAAAGATTAGGCTAGAAGCCTACATCCTATCTTGAGTTAGCTGCTTATTAGATAAAATAGAACTAAACTAACAGAGGGTTTATTTTGGCATGACTCAAACAAAAATTCAAAGTTCATGGCAGAAACTCAAGCTTGGTTTGAAGGAGAAAGTAACTGATTCCTAGTTGCTACTTTCATATCATATGAGCCATTATAACTTGATACGAATTGAATAAGTAAAAAAAATGAGCAGTTGTACTTAGTTACAGGCTTTCAATGTGAAGTTAAGGTGTATAAAGGCAGTGGTTGAAGAGCATGTATGGTATTAGTACATTTCTCAGAATTTCCAAAGGCTTTTACAATACAGTGTTCACTCATTTTTAAAAATAATGATTGCATTTTTGGATTTTGTTATAAACTTCAGTGAACTATTTTGTGTACCACATCTGCTTGTGGATTCTAGTAATGGGCCCTATAAAATGCTGCGGTAGTGTTGTGGTCCTAGATGTACACAGTATTTGTGACCAAGTGCTGATGCTGTATTGTAGTAGCTGTAATGTAGAGTCTTCTGACTTGCCTTGTCATGCTGGGCCTGAGGGAATGGAAGAAAAGACATTTCCGGCGTGCTCGTTGCTGGCTGCGGGGGGATAAGATAGTGAGTGTAGCAATCCTTCCACCTTTCCAGCCCAGCTTTTCTGAATGTCAGTCAGCAAAATACTGTGGTTCAACAAACATTGTGCTACTGTTACTGCACTTTTTTCCCCTGCTATCAGTATTATGAAAGATTCAAAGGGCATTAAAGAGTGGACACAAGTGCTGTTTTTGTCTTCTGCAGACATTGTGCACGTGAATGTTGTCATGCAATATTTTCTATTAACTTCTTAAGGTGAAAATGCTGTGCTAACGATGCACAAAAGCAAATCTACATTGTGATGGTTAGCAGGATTCTTTAAGCTGTTTAGGCCTGGTATGTACAGAGTGTGCTCCTATTTGTTTAAAGCTAGACTGTTGCAGTCTAAATCAATATAAACCAGGTTTACAGAGAGTGTGAGCATGTGTAGATACACATTTTCACTAGCTTTGTTGACCTGGAGTAATAGCCTAGCCTTAGTTAAGCTATTATTGTTTTGTATAGATAAATCTTTGCTGAACACTGATACTACATGAAAAACCTTAAGGACAAATGTAATATCTATATTTATGCTTTTTATTATAAGAATATTTATATGGAAAATACTTTGTTTTGCGTACAGACTTACCAGCTGCTCGTTACTTGCCTTTAGTCACAGTCCTGCTTCTCAGGGTGACAGAGTGACTTGAGGTAAAGAGTGAATAGAGCAGATAGGGATGACTTCAGAAGATAATTCTGTTTTCTTAGTGTCATGATTTAGAAAGAATCGCTCTTTATGTTTTTGAGGTGATGGAATATTTTAGCAGATGGAACTCTAAAGGGAAGATTCTTGTTTTTCAAGAGGTCAACTTTGCTCTTCAAGGATATCAAGAACACGCATTGTTATTAAGTGTATCATGTTTGGCATGTCTGAAATATGCATTAGTAATTTGTATCCACTATATTTTTTCTAAATAAATACTGCAGGATCCACTCTGTAGCATTTTCTCTGCAAATATGTTCTTAAATCCTTATCAGTGTGATGTAAAGAAAATCCACTAAAATAAGTGGTTTCAGAATTTGATATTCTTACATCTTGAAAGACGTATTCTGTCCTGTGTTTACTTGAAAGTTAGGTGTATAGTAAATGATCTAGTAATTCACTTTGCCGAGATTGATCGATGTTAGTGAAATAATTTGCATAATGCTGGAAGGAAAGTATGTATAAAAAATAAACCCACATCAAAAATAGCAAATGTCTGAATACTCTATTTACATTGCAAGTCTGAGGAATTGATGTGGAAAAGAAAATCTATGACAGTTTAATCTTTCTTACTCACACTTAGTTCAGTGGAGGGATGAACTGGTTGTCAACAGTTGCAGTGCAACTTTCTTTCACTTGGATTATGATTTCAGGATCATGGGTTTAAAAATTACTTGAATGGTTAAAACAGCAATAAGAAGTGAGTAGTTAATTTCAGTGAATTAACGTGAACAAGCAGTTAATTCTGAACATATATTAGCAGCTTGAGGAGGATTGCAATGTTACCCTGTGGTTTTTTATAGTATTGAGAAATGTGTTCAGTGCACTTATCAGAACTGGGAAGCTATTGCTTCAACAGTTTTTCAGAATGCAGCAGTCTAAAAGACATCAATCTTCATCTTGCTCTCCAACATAGGTATTTTGGAGGTTTCCTGGTATGGAGGTAGATCTAAGGTGTTTGTGCCTTTTACTCGAGAAGACTTTATTCCCTGGTAGTTGTTTAAGATGGTC